GATAGATAGATAGATAGATAGATAGATAGATAGATAGATAGATAGATAGATAGACAGACAGCCATCCCTCAGACAGAAATCGCTGAGATCACTTGTCCTTGCACAAACAAGTTATTTACCAAGAGGAATACCTTTGGCAGCCCTAGGTAAGCGCTTCCATATAACCTCACCCCAAGTATGAAGGCTGCACCACAGCAATGCAACCAGCAAAACAAGCATGCATATTACTGTCTTCTCTCTAGCACTCTTTCTGCCGCTATTATTATTGTTTCTGCCGCTATTCCTATTCAAACTAGGGCTTTGGGGAAAAAACCCGCCACCCTGAACCATCACGACCCCCTTTCCTTTTTCTTGGCACTCATGCTTGGCCAGGCTTCAGATGCCCATCCCAGCCAGAGCCACAGCCAAGACCAAAGCCAAAGCCAGGGCCGACCCCTACCACCACGGTGCGGGATGCATGGCGAGGCACCAGTGGCGATTGTGAGCTGCGCTGTCAGGAGCAATCAAGGCTCCGGGCCCGGTTCTGCATCAGGCTCTGCAGGACCTCTGTTTGTGCTGCTGCTATTCGGCTTTCTCTTACCTGCCAACAAGGGCAAGAAGGAACCCACCTTCTACCCGCGCCCGTTGCCAACTGACTGGAGCACTGAACGGCATTAGTTGGGTTATCTGAGGGACTACCTCTCCCCAATTAAATCTTCTTGCTCCATCTAGTCTGCCAGAAAAGGCATCCTACGAGTCCTGTCTGTCAGGGAATTACCATACATCTGACTGTTCCAGGAAGTGGGCCTTCTCTACCATGGTACTCACCTTGAGGAATCTTCCCCCCACTTCATAAGAAGTGAGATGAGCCCAATCCCTCGCAACATTCCACAAACCCCTCAAGACATGGCTATGCCATCAGTCCAGAGGGTCCCAGAGGACCAGAGAGATTTTGCAATAGCTATGATTACTGTGCTTAATATAATCCTCTCCTATGCTGTGTGGCTTTTTTATATTTATTTCTAAATTGTGGCTATATTGATTGAATTTTTTAAATTAAGTCCAGAGTTGTTTTCATGTGAATACAGGTGAGCAGCTATACAAATATAATAAATAAACAACAAGAAACTTCCATGTGTGCTTACTAACTTGGCTTTCTTCCTTAGAATGTGTGTGAACATGGCCAGAGCGCTAACTTTTCAAGTGGGGGGTCGCACTGGAACTCTTTTCCTGACAAAAAATAACTCTAACCAGTGTACTGTATTTGGATGCAATTCTGAGTCTTCATCAATTTCCAAATATAAAAATTATATTCAAATTTACAAAGGCATTTAATCTTATAAGCAACTTAATTCAATAAATCAACACATTTCTGCTTCCCCACAAATGCCTCAGATAACGTGGAATGAAGGAGCACGTGCATCTGTTTGTTCTAATGTACTGCCCTAACTGAAATAGCCTGCTATATCCAGGTCATTTGCACTAACATGGATACAAACATTATACTAAGATTTAATTTGATTTATTTGGTTTGGTCTTAGCATTAGTGCAGCTCTAACACTGTGGGTTAGAAACCAAAAAGTTGTTTATTATTTCGTGCATTTAATATTTAAATAAAAGACTGGGTGAAACCAAGCTTAATAACAATGACTATGAGAGGGATCTTGGAGTCTTTCTCAATGGCTCTCCATTGCAAGCGCTGAGTGGATTGTTTATCTAGCTTGCAACACTTGCAAGGTGTGAAATGCTCTTGGCTGAATGCCCAGAAGTTCAATTAAGCCTATTAAGAGGTTTCCCTTGCTGCTTGTCTTTCTGAGGTTATTGGGGGCTCTCCCAAGCCCCTGTGAGCCCCCAGCAGCCCACCCCTGCATATACATACATGTACAGCTGTACATATACAGCTAATGTATTAATCCAGAAGTATATTTTAAAAATAATTTGCATGCAGAAAACATAGATTATCAGATACAGCCTAAAAAATACCTCCCGAGTATTAACATATCACTAAGTAAATGTGGTCTCTAGTTGTTGGGAATCATGGACTTTAGATACTATTGGGAATCTATTCATGCTTCAGAAGGCTGTTTTTGTTGTCTCATAAAATGTAAGAAAGAATTATTATCTGTTTATGGTAGCATTCTAAGTTTTATTTATCCTTCTGTACAATCGTGTCCAATTCTGAGAGACTATTTGAACAAGTTCCTGTAGCTTTCTTGGCAAATTTTTTCAAAAGTAATTTGCCATTAATTATTGCTAGGGCTAAGATAAAGTGATTGGCCCAAGGTCACTCAGTTGGCTTTGGGCCCAAGACAGGACTAGAACTCACAGTCTAGGTTTGTAGCTTGAGGCCTTTAACCACTACACCAAACTACATCTAGACAGAACACTTTACTACCTCCATGTTTTAATTGCTAACAAATACAGGGTGCATTTGAGATTTATCTCTATAGCCTTATCCATTTTTCAATTTATAAAACTTTCAGATCTCTAAAGCTCAAGTACTTTATACAAGTTTTTAAAATCAGATTTGTAGGGATCCATTTTTTTAAGTTTACATATTTTAGTGCTTCCAAATGAGCAGTTTACAAATTCCATTTCTACGAAAAACAAGCATCACACATATTTCCATAGATACACATAGATACACACACTACAATGCCATAATAAGCAACTCCAGGACACCTGGTGTGGGAAGCCCCCCCACACACACTCCTGGAGAATGAAATATTTTGGGGGATGTTAAAAAAGCAGAATATTATATTTTCCCAAAGGAGAAATGGAGAAAATCTTAACAAAGGCAGAAAGCAGCCTCAGTCTTCTGCCATAGCCTCAAGCAGAAGCCTCAAGTCTTTAGAGATGGTTATTCTGTACCTGTTAAGAAAGGCTAGGCCACAGCTTCCACAGAAGACTGGAGCAGATGGGATTAAGAATTTACATTCCCCCACCCAAATTTTAAGGAGAGGACATGACCTTTAGGATGTAATAGATTTTACCCACCACCATTAGAATAGCAAAAGGCACAAGGCTCACTACATTGAACAACCCCTGGAGCATCACAATCACCAAACCGCAGAACCCTATAAAATCCATCCATTCACCCAGTTGTCAGCTACCCCAGAAACGTGCTGCTGTCACTGAAGTTTCTGGAAACCAAATAAACAGAGACCTTCTTTCCTTGTAGCCAGGCTCCATTTTATTTCCAGTATCTTTCTCCCGGCTTAGAACCTGATTGGATTTTTTTGTCCAACACTGGTATCTATATAAAAGCTATAGATAGCTTTGTGAACCTGGGATGCAGCAACTGTCATAAATATACGCTGGTTACCAAGCACCCAAATTTTGATCACATGACTTGGGGGTGGATGGTGCAATGGTTGTAAATATGAGTCCTCATTCTTTGTAAGTATGAGTCACTTTTTAAAGTGGTGTTGTAATTTAAAATGGTCTCTAAATGAATTGTTGTAAATGGAGGACTACTTGTATAGCAATGATAATAATCTCTAGCCTTAACAAGGATAACTGGGAATAACTGGGTTTGCAGGATTCTACTGGCAAAAGCCACCAAACAATCATTTGTACTAACAGAACATATTGGTACAAGCAGGAAAATATTTAGATGTCCAGCATACTTCATTTGCTACCTTGTAGACAATTTGTCTGTCTGAATAAAGAAGGCAGATTACCACTTTGATTTCAATTAATATTCTACGCAAATGTATCAGATTTGGGAAATGCAATTTG